CAATTTTAACCACTTCATGTCTTGAAGATCTGAATAAATACTTTTTTTGGAACCCCGGTATTTTTACTATTTTTTTCCTTAAACTGTTTATCTGAAGAGTATTCAGTGAAAATTTTAGCTCTTTATCTTAAAATGAGAAAAAAAATCTGAATTTTTTGTAGAAACCGTAATTTTTTCAATTTTTTCACAATTCTGAATTTTTTTTCGTATTCGGCGTTTAAATTGACTGAAATCACATGTGAAGTGTGTTAAAACAACTTTCAAAGAATATTCAATTTTTTTCGAGTTAAAATAATGATTAGCTTCTTTGTGGGGAACATTTTTAGTGGAGTTTTAAACGTGCCAGGTATATTATTCTGATGAACTGTGACCGTTTAGGTTAAATTAGGTAATGTACCCTTACTATGTCTAAAACTTTTCATAAAAACTTCTAAATATATTTATCTAATAACATAACAAGCTTATTCACAAAGTATATTAATCTAATAACTCATGATCTTATTATGTTGCACATTATTATATAAAGAAAAAAGAAGTTAACTATTAATACAGTATAAATGCATTTCCGCAACCAAGTACAAAATTCAAATAAGCTTTTTAGATTTTTAACCTTCGACTAATTGACTAAACTAGTTTTATATTTTTTTCTTCCGGAATAAATCTTGGTGTCCCTTAAAACGACCGCACGGGTCTCTATCAATCCGTCAAATTGATAAAGATTGATTTTAAACGTGCGTGGCGTTGATCGAGAGCGAGTCCACTAAATCTTTTTCCTTTTTTTTCAAATTTGCCAACGGACAATTCTCCTGTACCGAAAATAACAAACAGGTACTAAATCCTATGTTTCGAGCAATTATTTGGTTTCGGTATTTTATGGTGAAACACTTTGCAAAGAATAATTCTACTCGATCTTGTTGGTTCTTTATGTATTTTGCTTTTAGAGTTGTTTATAGTCTTTTGTAGGGGTATATAGAGTACTGCAATGGTTCTCAACTTGTGATATTATTGTCGACGATATGTGATGATGTGTGATAACATATGATTAACTTGTGTAAAATATAAAATAATTTTATCCTTCATTGCTAATATTATGATACAAATATCTCGTGTACAGTGTCTTTTAATTTATTCAATTAGAAATTAAATTTAAAATTCCGCAATTTCCATTATTCTACAAAATGAAACATTTGACTACAGCTGATACAAAATAGTGTTTACAATTTCGATTTAAATATACATTAAATTCGACTCCATCTAAAATTTCGTATAATTACGTTCGATCTGAACACATGAAATCTGATTCCAGTACAAGTTTCATATAATTTCGATCTCCATGAATTAAATTTAATTCCAACTAAAATTGTATATAATTTTCTCCGATTTAGATATATTAAATTCGATTCCAACTCGACTTTCATGTAATTCCGATATAGATAGATTATATGAAACTTAAGTTGGAATCGAATTTAATTTCGTTCAATTTCAATTATATTTAAATTAACAAAGTGTTGTTCGTTTAAACCGTAGGTGCTTCGAGAAATAGTCTACAACGAACTGGCAAGTATCTCTTTAGAAGACTTCATCCACTACTCTTCAAGAATGCCAGAATTTTCCAATACGTTTCATTTCAAAATTTAATTATCTACAAATAATTTCGATTCACAAAAGACTCGCGAAATCATAATTATCATTCTAACACCGCTGCTCATATTAAAGTAAGCAATGGGCTTTATTTTGTAATCCGTTCGTCCACGATTATATATTGTGGCAATTATTACCATTGTATTATAATTATTCACAATCGTACAAATTTTCCTACCGTGCTAATCTATGAATTAATTCTATTTATACTGCTTCTTGTTTTTGAATGCAACGTGCATGCGTGCGTTTATGAATATGTAGGACGTCCAAATAAAATGTATACACACTGTAATATTATGTAATTTGATGAATAAAATGAGATGTGGTTAAACTGTTATGTCGTTTATTTGAAATTTTAGACATTTAAAATAATTATGCACAGAGTGGATATTATGTGAGAATATATGTACATATGCGTGTGTGTAACATTAAATATATGGCAATAAATGTATGACATCAGATAAATGACAATAAACATATGTGAATAAACATATAATAATAAATATATGACAATAAATGTGTGACAATGAATATATGACAATAAACAAATGGTAATACACATATGTGGATAAACATATGACAATCAATATATGACATCAAACATATGATAATAAACGTATGTGAATAAACATATGATAACAAACATATGACAATAAATGTGACAATGAATATATGACAATAAACATATAGTAATACACATATGTGGATAAACATATGACAATAAATGTACGACAATATATGTGAAGAAACATATGATAATAAGCATATCACGATGCATGTATGAAAATAATCATATGTTAACAAACATATGACAATGAATGTATCAAAATAAATATATAATAGCAAATATGAGACAAAGAATGCATCAAAATAAATATGTAACAATGACTGCATGAAAATAAATAGTACCATTATCTGATATTGATACATAAACAATGTATCACCCCAATGTACAATTGGATCACCCTGTACAATCCTCTGTACAATAAATTGTAAATAAAGCGTAGAATCCAATACAGAGAAATAAAAATACTTTATTTAAGAAATAGAAAGGATATTTTTCTTTCTCCACTGCAACCTTCCATTATTTATTTATTATCGAACAGTCCCTGTATCGTTGAACTACGAATACAATAGTTTATCGTTTGTAAGCGATACAACTCTTCTTGTCATAAATACCAGTAAGCGACAAATCAGGTATCACAGGTATTTTAGTTCGTCTGCTGTAGGTAAGAGGTAATACTATTGGAGTCTTATATGAAATATAATTTTGAGGATATTTGCCGATGTACGACGTGGTCATTCCCGGTGCACATTGATATTCGTAATCGGTCGACTTAAAGTACGTTAAGGGATGGAAAGTTCCTGTTCGATCTTTGTATTGGCTTCGATGAAGTTGTATTCCCTGCAAAAATGCATTACGAATCTATTATGATACTGGTACTATAAGGTAATATTATAACTAGCCTAAGATTTACGGACGTTTGAAGAAATATTTTTAAATAAAAATTATCATGAAAAAATTAAGGGATGACTCTTTGTCTGGACACAAGTTACAATTCTGGAAAATGCTCCTTAATTTTTGTAATCTAATATAGGAAATCTAGAAAAAGGAATTTATTCAGATCTTCAAAACATGAAGTGGTTAAAATTGAAGCTAAATTGGCTGGGGTCGTTTCATACCCCACTGCGTTCGTTAAGGGTTGAAGTTCAAAAAAATTCTTTTTGTTCTCACCCTACATAATTGAATACACAACGTCTTATTTCGTTGTTAACAGAGATTTCAAGAAAAATATCTCAACAAATTTCATCATTTAAAATAAGTAACTTGTGAACCGGTTATTTCACCAGTTTGATAGTTTTAGCGTTAACTGATACAAATTACAAATCTATTTATAATTCGATTACTTTATACAAATCGTCGACTTCTTTCATGCGTATTACGTCGATGCTCGAAATGTCGTTATAAGGTAAAGCTAATTCACGATCAATCTTTCGTCGTTTAGCTGTTACGACGAGGTTAGATACGGGGCTGTATGGTATTTCTCGCAATCCCCATTGGTATCGTGGCATCTTGTACAGAAACAAACAAGTTACGTAAAACAGAGAACAAGGGAACAAAATACCATTTAACAGTCACCTACCGATGTCAACCCACGAGTTGGCGCGAGAGGCTGACCCAGGTGTTTAGAAGAGGCTCCAATTGGTCGGAATAGAAAAATGGACGCCTCACACGTATTTTGGGTAGTGTATTGGCCTTCGTTTTGCTCCGAAAACATTCGATTTTGCCAAAAAGACAATCTTCTAGCAATCTTCATTACATGCAAACTTCATTCAAACCATGCACAAACTTCATTCATATCATGCACCCATGTCACTCATACAATTACATAGTACATCACTCATACAATTACAAAGCACACACACACACGTCACACATAAGCTTGAATTTCTACCTTTCTAAATATCCAAATTTTCAAATTTCCATAAGCATGAATTTCTACTTTTCTTTGTAACCAACCTTTCAAATTTCCATAAACCCGAATTTCTACTTTTCTAAATATCCAAGTTCTCAAATTTTCATAAGCTCTAATTTCTACATTTCTGAATACGCAAACATCCAAATCCCAACTTCAACATTTCTATTCCCCTAAGTTGTCAAACCCCAAATTTCACATTCCCACATACCGATGTCAACTCACGAGTTGGTTCGTGGTGTTTAGAAGAGCCGCTCCAATTGATCAGAATAGAAAAATGAACGCCTCACACGTATTTCCGACAGTAGTATTGACTCTTGCAGATACCAATTAGGCCAGAAACAATGACAGTCAACAAGCGTCTCAAGAGTGAGATAATGTCAATCGTTCAGTAGTTATTGTCATTATTATTCTCATTTGCCGAAATGTAACGAAGTGTTCACGGTAGGGAGCTTCTTTTACTTTGGGTCACGCGCCAACTCATGCGTTGACATCAGTATATAAAAAAATCTTCTATAAGCTTGAGCTAAAAAATTTTAATGTAAGATGTCGCTCAGATATTGACTTCTTGTCATATCGACTTTTAAGTACAATTGTTGTTATTTAAAATTAAATTTGAAAGAGTAAACTCACCGAGAATTTTGACAATATTTCATTTCTATATCTTTGAAAATAAGTCATACGAACGCCATCAAGCACGACGCTATCTGATTTTGATGGGGGTTGAGGACCCATATAGAGTGGAGTTACAGTGGGGGAATGTAACAAAACCCCACTTTTCGATGAACCAGTCATTCTGATCTTTTTATTGCTCTTCACAACTGAACAAATAATTTTTATCTTGTGCGTTTAAACATATTTCCTAATTTATCAGGTTATCCATCAAATCAACGTGTAACGCTGCTGTCGAAAACAAAGAAACGTAATTTCACTCTTTGTTTATTTAAAAGTGAGTTTGTAGATTTCAACATTTCACGTCACTGAAACGTTTCAAGGTTTAAATTTTCATATTTCTAAATCTTGAAATTCCTAAAGCTTAAAATTTTTCATTGTACAATTTTGTAAATGGTGAAATTTTCTATCTTTCAAGTTTGTAAATTTTCAGTCATAAACTTCTAGAATTTCTAATGATCCAATTTCCAATCTCCCAAGTTTCTAAATTTTCAAATACCCAAATATTTCATATTCTACATCACCAAATTCCTGTATCTCCAAATTCACAAATTTGAAAATTTCTAAATGTTCAAATTTCCAAATGATCCAATTTCCAATCTCCCAAATTCCTAAATCTTCAAATCCAATAAATTAACAAATTTCTAAATATTTCAACTTCTAAATCCCCAAATTTCTATAGCTCCAAGTATAAAATAATTCGTGAAAAATACATCTCATTTTGCAAAAGTTTCTAAAAGCTGACAATTATTATTTGAACAAAGTTGTGCACACACCTGACCCTATACGTTTACTCGGAAACGTAAGTAACTCTTATCACTTGCTATAATTGATCGTGATAAGTATTTGCAGCAATTTATCATGCGCGATAACCACGTGGTAATTCAATAATCGATACATACATGGTAATTCAATAATCGATACATACATGGTAATTCAATAATCGATCATATCAACGAAACACGTCAAATAACGCAAGACCGTAAACATGAAACGTAAAGTGTATTTACGTATGTAAATACGTAAATATGTATGTTTCCGATTTAAATGCACTGGGTTAAGTAGGAATAACAGTGATAGATAGGATTTGATTATCACAAATTTGCAGGATTTATTAGATTCTGATGATATTACTACCGCTAGTACTAGTGTTACTATTAGACTCCGCCATGAATAAAGGCTTTAAAAGCCGCATTTAAAATTGTATGATGTGTATCCACTTTTTAGTAACATTTTCATTATTCTTTACGAAAACTGAATATTGATTAGGGTACTTGTTAATTGATAAACTAACAAGAATAAAAAGAAAGCAAAATCGGTATTAATTACTTTATGTACAAAATCATTTAAATACAAATTGTACAAATTATAAATTGAATTTATAAAATATATTGAACGCGAAAGTATTATTATCGTAGAACAATACAACGTTAGGAAATATAATTGATTTTTCGAATGTAATTTCTGTTTCTTGCAAGAGCGAGATAGCTCTAGCTTCTTCAACTGACAAGTTAATAAAGAATATTCGGGCCTCGCCCAAGCAATGTTCGCAACACGCTCGAGCCTTTCTGACTTTTCCCGAATACTACCCTTATCTACCATAGCGGCTTTACTCCTAGACCAGCCTAAAGGACCCGGAGAACAACCAAGTGGTTCTCCGTCCACTGTCCCTCACTACCGGAGACGTTCGTCATCTCCCTCTCAGGGTCATACCGGCCTCAGGGCGATACATACAGCACCTCCCCTAGCCGTGGCTTGAACGGCCCCAGGTTCGCCAAAGCGCCCCTGTGCACGCAAGGAGATCGCCAGCTAGGCATCGCTTCTAAAAAATTTACAAATGTTATCTCGCTCGCTCTTTCTTCGCTCTCCGCTACAAATAAACTTGTCGCTACCTTTGCAATGACAATACAATCGCACACAATTTACAACATAACGAATAATGGTTATTTTACATTCAGAACAGACGTAACACAAACTGTACAATTTTACTTAAATCTAAATAAACAATTATTCTGGGTGTATTTAACACCAACACAATATTTATGTACAAATAATCGGAGAATTTCGGCCAATAAGATGTTAGGATTAATGCAGTGCCGTATCAAAGAGGCGCCCGAGGCTATCACCCCTTCGGTCCATGCGTGTATATATACACAGTGGCTATTACAACTGCTACTATTACACCACTATCATCATTGTTACCATTGCCGTTATTATCACTACCGATATTTGACCATGTATTTTCTATTAACGAACTACTCGATAATCACGATTACGCTTCTAATTAAATAACTCGTAACTCGATTCACCTGTTTCGACACCAAATCGATTATCTGATCTCGTGATTTTACCGGTATCGCCTTCTTTAGATGCAATCAGAAATTCGAACGTTATAAATAGTGAAATATCATCGGTCAGATAAACGAAACAGGTATGCCGTGATCAATTTTTGGCCTTCAACTTATCTCTCCTTCCGACTGCTCGGAAATCGATCATTTATCGTAATGAGTTATAAATGTTATTTTTTTCGCCTACGCAGGTAGTTACGTTCGTGCGGTCAACTATTAAACAGTGTCCAAATTTTTCTTCCCTTTTTATCTTGTATTTAGTTTCAGTGATTAATCTGTTAATAAATAGTTGCAGTAACTTAATTTTAATTTACAATAATTAAAGAAAAATGTATGCGAAAGTGTTTTTACAAATAATTGCATCGTTGTTTCTTTGTACGCAATTCGTCAGTGCGACAGATTCTTTGGAATTAGTGCAAGTTGTGAGTATTTTAGGGGTTTTTAAGTTTAATATTTTGTTGATAGAAATGCGTAAGTGTAAAATTGTTTTTTCAGTGAATCTTCTGCAAATTTCTAGATGGGTACTTTCTCAAATCTAGAAATTGTGAAGTTCTTACTTCCTCACATTTAAAAATTTTCAAATCCCAAATCAACAAATTTTTAAGTTTTCATATTCCTGAAATCCCAAATTCCCAGACTTCCAAATTCTTAAATTTCCAAAATTTTCGTATACGTAAATTTACAAATTTTCAAACTATCGAATCCTTGAATACACAAATTCTCAAATTTACAAATTCCTAATTTTGAAATTTCTGAATCTTCAATTCCCAAATTTTCGAATCTTTAAATTTACAAATTCCCACGCTTGCAAATCTCTAAATCCCCAAATTTTCAAGCTTCCATATCTCTAAACTGCCAAATTTTTAATTGTCCGAAACCCTAAATTTCCGAATTCTCAAGTTTTCTAATTTCTAAATTCCAAATTTTTTATCCCCCAATTCTCTAATTTCCGAAATTCCCACACTTCCAAATCCCTAAATTCCTAAATTCTTAAATTTCCAAATCCCTTAATCCCCAAATTCCTCAAATTTTCAAAAACTTAAATTCCTTAATAAATTCTTAAGAAATACTAAATTCACAAACATTCAAATTTCCAAACTTCTCCCAAATATTTAAAGCGTTCAAAGATTCTAAACATATTAATACAGCAAAGAAAATATTTCGTTAGTTGGAATTATCCTTTGTCTCTAAATGTCGTTATCGCAATCGATAAAAATAGCTGACGCATAATTATAATACTGGGATTATTTTGAACTATTTTATAGGGGGTATTTTCATACTGATTGATTGTGATAATACCTGATTGATAACGTTCTCCGCAGTTATAGTGATCGCGTTCCTCTGTACCTCACATTTGATGGAAATTGTGGAACTATTTATACGATAGTAATGATATATTAATGTATAATATAAACATATATATGTATTCTATACATGTACATATGAATACACAATATGTTAGGTTCACATATACAATATATGCAAAATACATGTATGTATGTGTACATCTAATACATATAGATATTCATACGTACACAATATATTATGTTCTGCTATATTGTATAATAACACATATGATGTATGATAATGTACGTGTAATATATGATTATTTATTTAACATATGACAGTGTCCATGCGATATGTATTGTATGTGCATATGTATACAATATGTTATGTTCTGCTATACTGTATAATAACACATATGATGTATGATAATGTACGTGTAATATATGATTATTTATATAACATATGATAGTGTCCATGCGATATTGTATGTGCATATGTATACGACATGTTATGTTCTGCTATACTGTATAATAACACATATGATGTATGATAATGTACGTGTAATATATGATTATTTATATAACATATGATAGTGTCCATGCGATATGTATTGTATGTGCATATGTATACGATATGTTATGTTCTGCTATACTGTATAATAGTACATAAAATGTATGATAATGTATGTACAATATATATATATATATATACATATATATATGGATTTGATAATACATCAAACATGATAATGTATGTAATATGTCATGACATATTATATAACATATGATAATTCATGTAGTATATGACAACATATATATTGTATAATAATAATAATATGTCACGAATTGATACATGATCCCGATGATATATAATACAACATATTATAATAATAATATATCATCAAATGATACCCAATGATACATAACGATCCTAGGACCTCGAACAGCCTAACCTAACCCAACCCAGGACTATAATACTTGTTCACTCATAATCATACATGATAATTATGTACTGATTCGCAGTTATTCAGACATGGGGATCGAACACCAAGCAAAAGAGAAGTATATCCCAATTTACCACCTAATCCCATTTACGACAAGCTTGGGTATGGAGAATTAACCGATGTAAGTATACACTGAATCATTAATTATAGAAAGATATTTCAGAATGAAAACAGGCATTTTTTTAAAGAGATATTTTTTTACAAATATGACATATATGAAATCTTATTGTGCAATGTATTCATTCCAATGTGCGAGGGGAATTAACCCCTCGGCCTATAACATCGAGTCATATTCGCGACGCATGTTGCAGTTCAAATGTGACAAAGTAAATTTGCATGAAGATCGAGTTTTGAGTATACCAATTACAGTTTGCATAATTAAACATTCCTAAATCCAAAATATTTCTAAGCTTTCGAATTCTCAGATTTCTAAATTAACTTCCAAGTTCCTAAATGTCCAAATTCTTTTATAGTATTAACTTGCAATCGATATATTCATTGTGCATACAAATAATTGTACATTTAGTTCTTAATTGACTAGTTAAATTCCTATAAGTAATTTACCTTAAAATAACTTCAGACTTTCATCAAAAGATTAGAAAATTTATAATTATTATTTATTGCGATTTCAGTCCACATATTATTACCCGTAAATGATCATCAAATTATTTTCCGAGATAAATTTATGCAATTTCAGATATTAGACTGTATATGTATATTCGAAATACTAGAAAACAGTTAAGATGGCGGAAAATAATGTTCGATAATTTTCAGGTAGGAAAAAAGAGGGCGCAGGATCTCGGAAAGATGTTGAGACAACGATATGATAAATTTTTGGGTAAAGCTCAGTACAACGAGGTTTACGCCATCAGCACAGATTTCGATCGCACAAAAATGACCCTACAGCTGGTTCTGAACGGGCTATATCCTCCGACAAAGAACGCGTCTTGGGACCAAATGACTTGGTCACCGATACCGACCTTGTATTTACCGCTGCTTTTGGACACTGTATTGTTCCCCCAGGCTTGCCCCATGTACGTACGTTTTTTTTTTCAAAATTAATGTTTTGTTAACATTTTTTTGGAAATTTGTGTATGAACTTGAACTATACTTAATAATTACCATCTCGATTACTATCGATATTATTTTTGTCTGAAAATTTGTATTTAAATGCAATTTTATTTGGAAACTTGTATTTTGGTCACAAGTTTATTTGGAAATTTGTATTCGGTCTCAAATTTATTTGGAAATTAGTATTTACAATAAATTCTATTTAGAAATTTGTATTTACAATAAATTCTGTTTGGAAATTTGTATTCAGTCACAAGTTTATTTGGAAATTTGTATTCGGTCTGAAATTTATTTGGAAATTAGTATTTACAATAAATTCTATTTGGAAATTTGTATTCAGTCACAAGTTTATTTGGAAATTTGTATTCGGTCTGAAATTTATTTGGAAATTAGTATTTACAATAAATTCTATTTGGAAATTTGTATTCGGTCACAAATTTATTTGGAAATTTGTATTCGGTCTCAAGTTTATTTGGAAATTAGTATTTACGATAAATTCTATTTAGAAATTTGTATTTACAATAAATTCTGTTTGGAAATTTGTATTCAGTCACAAGTTTATTTGGAAATTTGTATTCGGTCTGAAATTTATTTGGAAATTAGTATTTACAATAAATTCTATTTGGAAATTTGTATTCAGTCACAAGTTTATTTGGAAATTAGTATTTCTAATAAATTCCTTTTCAATTTTCAAAGGAAATTAAAAGTTTCTTCCGCAATTCTTGTAGATACGTATACGAATGGTTACGCCTAAAATTTTCGGATGCAATGAAGAAAGAACTAGACAAATATGCCGACCTTTTCCAATATCTTATTCAAGAAACTGGACTAACTGCGAAAGATAATATACTGTTGGCAGCCAGACTTTACCAATTGCTACTATCACAGGTATAATTCATTATAAAATTCAATTTTAAGCTTTAAAGCTTCAGAGTCTTAAAATTCTATGTCTCAAACTATTTAAGTTCCAATATCTCAAAATCCCAAAATTCCAAACTTCTCAAGGTTCCAATATTTTAAAACTCTAGAAATTCCAAATTTCATAAGCCCCAACATTTGAAAATCTCAAAGTCCTAAACTTCTCAAGGTCCAACATCTCGAAATCCCAAACTTCTCAAGACCCAACATTTCAAAATCTCAAAATTCTAAATTTCTCAAGCTCTAATATCTCAAAATTCTGTACTTCTTAGGATCCAATATTTCAAAATCCCATATTTCTCAAGGTCTAATATCTCAAAATCCCAAATTTCTCAGAGTCCAATATTTCAAAATTCCAAACTTCTCAAGGTCCAATATCTCAAAATCCCAAACTTCTCAAGGTCCAATATCTCAAAATCCCAAATTTCTCAGGGTCCAATATTTCAAAATTCCAAATTTCTCAGGGTTCAATATCTCAAAATCCCAAACTTCTCAAGGTCCAATATCTCAAAATCCCAAACTTCTCAAGGTCCAATATCTCAAAATCCCAAACTTCTCAAGGTCCAATATCTCAAAATCCCAAACTTCTCAAGGTCCAATATCTCAAAATCCCAAACTTCTCAAGGTCCAATATCTCAAAATCCCAAACTTCTCAAGGTCCAATATCTCAAAATTCCATACTTCTCAAGGTCCAATATCTCAAAATCCCAAATTTCTCAAGGTCCAATATCTCAAAATCCCATACTTCTCAAGGTCCGAAAATTCCAAATTTCTCAGGGTTCAATATTTCAAAATTCCAAACTTCTCCATGTCCAATATCTCAAAATCCCAAATTTCTCAGGGTCCAATATTTCAAAATTCCAAATTTCTCAGGGTTCAATATTTCAAAATTCCAAACTTCTCCATGTCCAATATCTCAAAATCCCAAATTTCTCAGGGTCCAATATTTCAAAATCCCATACTTCTCAAGGTCCAATATCTCAAAATCCCAAACTTCTCAAGGTCCAATATCTCAAAATCCCAAACTTCTCAAGGTCCAATATCTCAAAATCCCAAACTTCTCAAGGTCCAATATCTCAAAATCCCAAACTTCTCAAGGTCCAATATCTCAAAATCCCAAACTTCTCAAGGTCCAATATCTCAAAATCCCAAACTTCTCAAGATCCAATATCTCAAAATCCCAAACTTCTCAAGGTCCAATATCTCAATATCCCAAACTTCTCAAGGTCCAATATCTCAAAATCCCAAATTTCTCAAAGTCCAATGTCTCAAAATCCCAAACTTCTAAAATCCCAACATCCTAAAATTCCAAACTTCTCAAGCCCCAACCCTTTAAAACCCCAAAACCCCAAAATTGCAAAGGTCCCAAAACATATTCTCAAACTCACAAAAACCTCCTATCTATCACCCTTCAAAACTTCCAAAAACCAAGGTTCCAAGACCCCAGAAAATATCAAGAACCCCATACCAAAAAATCCAACAACAACTATAATTAAAAAGCGACAACCTTCTGACAATTAGCGCAGCATGAACATGGCTCTACCTAAGTGGGCCACGGACAAGGTTCAAAAAGCCCTCGAACAAATAGTGACCCTAGATTACAACATTCAATCGTACACGCCTAAATTGAAACGCCTAAATGGCGGCACGATCGTGAAGCGACTCTTGCGAAATATTCGCGACAAATCGTCTACGGCTGGGTCACGGAGGAAGATTTATCTATACAGCGGACACGATGTTAATATCGCCAGTTTCACCAAAGTAAACGGTTTCCCCGAACCAACTATACCGCCTTACGGATCCGCATTTATAGTCGAAACATGGAAGACCGTAGCCGGGAAACGCTATATTCAAGTACGTTTTCAAGCATAATTGCTGTTCAACATATCATATAATACATTCTCGCCCTCTAAATCTATGTCAGAAACACACCTGTGAACCTCACACTGTACATTTATACAGGGTGTTACTTGTAACTCACGATTTTTCGTTTGCAGCCACCTTACGAAAAAAAGTTTAGAACATTATTTGCAGGGTATGAAGTGCACGATAGATATTAGTAAAGCAAATTTTGAAAACAGTTTGTTCTCTCGGCAAAGTCAATGTCACCTTGGGTTTTTTAAATAGGAACATACATTTTTTTTATTCGTAGCTTTAGAGGACGTCGAGACGAATTCAAAACACATGTTACATGATATTTTTCTTAACATG